GAACTTTTCACTGGAGCGTTCCACAGTGTGGATTATTTTTATTTCATTCCCTGCTCTTTGTAAAGATTATAGCCTATATCACAAAAACGTGGGCTGAGAGGGACCTCTGGAGGTCCTTGATTTCAACCTCTGCTCATAGCAGTGCTAAGTTGAATAAAATGGTCCAGGCCCTCGTTTACACAAGTTTTGGAAATCACAAAGAATAGAGATTCTGCAGCCCCTCTAAGCAATTTCTTTCTATTACGAAGAATATTTCCTTTGTAGCTGACAGCACTTTCCCTTACTGCCATTTCTGACTGTTGCTTCTTGTGCTTTTACGGTGCACGTCTGGAACAAGTTCAGCTTTGCAAACCCCCTTCAGTCATCAGAAGACAGCAGTTAGCTGTCCTCTTTTGAAGGATAAATAAGTCTGATTCCCTCATCCTCTCTTTGTCTGTCATATGTTCAGCCTCCTGATCATCTTGCTATTCCTTCACCAGATTTTTCCATTTTGAATTTATATCTTGCGTTGTCTGCGAGGCCCAAAACTGGTCTTGGGATTCCAGATATATTATTCTCAAGATGCTAAGCAAAAGAGTTAACCCCTTCCTTTGCCTGCTGGTTGTGCTGGATGTGCTAATTCAGCTGGATGTGTGATTAACCTCTATGGCTGCAAGGGGCACTCTGCTGACTTATACTTAACTTCTACCTCAGCTTCTACAGAGCAGCAACACAGGCAGGCAATTCCCACCCTATTGCAATGGATGAAGTTATGCTTTCCCACATACGTGTGAGTTTATTTGTATCAGATACAAGGAAGCTTCTGGTTTAGAAGAGTTAAGTAGATTTACAGTTAAGTTGCCATACTCTTTAAGAAAAAAGGCAGTATCTCAATTTACTTTTTTTTTTTTTTTTTTTTTTTTTTTAAGATTTTGCACTTATCAGCATTACAAGTAGATCATACAGAGTTTGTTACATATAAAGATGACTGTAGCAATTGTACATTTTTTAACTAAACATACCCTCGAGTGTTTTTGTTCAAATGTTGTCTATAGTCAGATTCACATAAAGTCTTCCACCCCACCAGTCGTGGGATGCAAAGCAAGAGAAGCTTCATCCTTCTGCTGTGTTTCTTAGTGGATTCCTACCATGTAGCCTCCTAGACAGTATCAATAGAAAGTAATAGTAAATAGTAAAGTAGTGTCGACAGGGATTCATACTAATGTGATTGTTCAATAACTGAAGTAGGGATAAATAAATCTTCCATATGTGTTCTGGCTTTTATTGTTTTGTTTTTAAATATTTATCTGTATCTGTTCAATTCAGCACTGGATTTATTGTCATTGGTCTGTTAGCCTGGGGATTAGAAGACTGAGGAGGGATCTAATTAGTGTTTATAGGAATCTACAGGGAGGTGGGAGGTAAACGGATGAGGCCAGGCTCTTCTTGGTGGTGTGTAATGATAGGACAACAGCAGTGGCCTAAAATGTGAACATAGGGAGTTCCATAAAAGCATGCAAAAGAACTTATTTATGGGAAGGGTGATGGAGCACTGGAACAGGTTGCCCAGAGAGGATGTGGAGTCTCCTTCTATGGAGATATTCATGACCCATCTGGATGCCTACCTGTGCAACCCATTATAGGGAACCTTGCCTTAGCAGGGAGGTTGGACTCAACAATCTCTTGAGATCCTTTCCAACCTCAGCAATTCTGTGTATATTAACAGTGTCATTTATACTTTGAGAGTGTGTCAGCTGATGGATGAAAATAAAATCAGATTCCTTTAAATATGTGTTAGTATTTCAGACATCTTATTTAATATCAGATAAGGGCTTAATTCTATCCTGGTTATGATCTTGCTGAATGACAATTTCAGCAAGGTCACAAGAGCTTCCTATGTGTTTGTGACTGTGGGGGACTGTTTTCATATAGTATATTAGTCCTGAAAGAAATAAGCGTTCTATTTACTTTTATATAATAGGCTTCAATTCTTCCAGGAAGTCTGTTTGAAAACTATTTATGGTATTAGTATGGAAATTATATATTGCACACTAAATGGGAGTCTTGCAGCCGAGGACTATGACAGGCATCTCACTATTTTAACTATGGTAGCCCAGTTGAAAAACAACACAAAACACAGCTGGATGTAATTGTATTGAAAGACATACTTATTATGTTAATAGGGGCATGTGAATAAAATGAAACATTGTCCAGCAAAGCAAAGGTTTTCCAGCAAAGACTCTGAATTACTTTGGCAAGATGTTCAAATGAGGCAACCTTTTATTTTTGTTTGAATTGAAAATATGCTTGGTATTTATTCTTAAATACTGACAGATGAACTGTGGCAGCACCACAGAAACAAGAGACTTATGTCAAGAATCAATTTAATAAATATTCTTTAATTGAGAATAAAGTATGAATTATGACCCTGAATCTTTTAGGTGCTGTAATTTGAATCACATAATGAAAACACTCTGTAGTGGTGACATATGTGCTAAGCCCCTGTTACCCTGGCTTGTGATAGTACTGTGATAATGCCTTTCACTGTCTTCCCCTGCTCAGTGAAGCTTACTGATTTTCCTGCCTGTATCATTCTGGTGCTGCTTCTGCTGTGCCACAGCAACATAACATCACCCCAAGAGGTTGTAAACAGTCAGGTTTCAGTAAGATTCTACCAGATGCTGTAGAAGTTCAGTATTGGATTGGCTTTCCTTCTAAACAGTGCAGGCATTGCCCTTCTTCCAATCCTACAAGTTTCCCAGAATTTCTTATTTTCATCGGTCTGCAGAACTTGTAAGTTACCTGGTCAAAGTGCTAGATCTGGTTATGCCAATTCATTGCTAGTGCACTTGAAATCTTTCAAAACAAGACGCCTCCAATGAGTTTTATGTTTTGTTTTGTTTTAAGACATGTTTTTAACAAACCATAACTGAAGACTAAAAAAAAACCTATAACAGTTTGTACCTTATGTAAGTGTGCCTGCTATTCAAATAGCTGCTTTCAGGGGCTGAAATACTGTTAAAAGCTCGAGTCTTCATGGCCAGCTGCTGCCATCCTGAAGTAGATGAAATGTTTTCTTTTTAACTTTGTATCTCAGTATACTGTCCTATGAAATTGCTTTCAGCCTTTAAATTGATTGTCATGCGGAATTTTGTACTTTTCAACCTATTGTTGAGTTTGAGAGTTACAAAAGCCATTCTGAGATTTAGTACTCAAATTAACTTTTGTTGCTAATTAGAAGAAATGCTACTGTGGTGAAAAAAATGTTGTTTGTTATATTTTATTTCTTTATTACATAATTAAAAGATGAAAATGTCTTTGGGTAGAGCTTTATTTCCCCTTAATAATACCAACCCAACTACAACAGTGTAGATATAATAGTGAGATGTGATTCTTGACAGTCTAATCATTGGTTAATCTAGCAACGCTCACAGAGTCAAAATATTGTTAAATCACTGTCCTTCCCTACTGTGGAAAGCCACCAGGTGAGCTGTTTCAGTGATAATAACATTAGAAAATAGTGTGAAAGAATTTATTGCTAACAGATCTGCAGAGGAGAGCAGTGCTGAAGACAGCGTATTGATTGCTGTAGGAAAAAGAAATAAACCCACAACATTTCAAATGCACCCTGCAATGGACTTATACAATTCCTCTTATGTAACATAGATGATGTTAAATTTTATGGACATTATATTTTAATGGAAAAAAAAGGTCTCAGAAAATGGGCTATTAATGCTCTGTGCAAATCCTACAGAATAAGAATGCATTTGCATGCAAATGCTGCAATAAAATAGTATTCCTGGTACATTACACAGATCCAGTCTTGATATTATCCCAGTAGCTATGTATATTCTTTGTAATGAGGAACTGTTTATTCTTGAAATGTAATATGAATAAAATACATATCATTGTAATATTTACAGTTTAAAAAGTGTAATTTTTTAAAAATACTGCATTTAAAATCATTCAATTTAACTTGTTTTCATTTTAAATTAAATTAAATTTAAAAGCTGTTATTTGAAATAGGTTTCTGGAGATAAAGTACCATCGTCCTGTTTAATGAAATGTATTTGTTTCTTGGCTGTCAATATAAGAAAGATGTAAAAGTTTTTTTTCTGTGAAGATTTACACCTGCACCTTATCAAGCATTTTGCAGAATGATGAGGAGACATGTAGGTTGCTCTGAAAGTAATGTCTCCTATTTATTTCCATAGAAACTACAACGGATAAAAAGAGCACAAAAACAGTAATTATGTAGAGCAAATTCTCAGCTACAAAATACTGTTTTTCTATGTAATCACCACCATTAGCTATGCATTTTCACCAGCACTGAACAAGAGCTTGCTTGCCAACTGAGGTGAACCACTGTTGCTGTTGCCAGTGCTGACAAACACCACCTGCCACCTCACTGTGCTTACAACCACTGTTTGATCTCCATAAATTTTCAGCACGCATTGATGAAGATCCAAGAATGGAATTTTTTCTGTATGAAGGAATTCAGTGACGCATCTTTGCTTCATTTGTATTTCCACGTCAGACTGCCCCTCTCCTGCTGTATGTCACATGGCAACTATTTACATGTAATAGAATGTTGGTAGGAGGGTTCAACTTGGGCTTGGTCAACTTGGTCATACCATCAACATCCACCTCTGATATCATGAGCCAACACAATAAAACAGGAGGCATTACTTTTAGAGCAGTCCTGGTGATTTTGCCATTAGTGTGTTAATAATTCCACTTTGGCAAGTAAATTCCAAATTCCACTAAAAGTAAAACAAGACAACCTATTTTCACTAACACGTGTACTCTCACTAGAGAGTAGATTTTTTACTTCCCACTCCCAGTGGGATATCTAATCCCTTTAAAATCAATAGGTAAAACTCGCCTGAGAGGATAACAATTATTAGTGGCTTCCAGAAATGAATAAAAAATGGACTTCTACAGGGAGTTTAGTACTTAAAGAAAATTATGAAAGATGAATTGAAGGAAACTAGTTCTTTCTTTTCTTTTTCTTTGAATAGCCTGGATGTGTAAACACTACTGAAGTGGATATAAAAAAGTCTTCAAGAATGAGAAATCCACATAAAACAAGAAAGGTAAGTACTGCAATTAAATAAGAAGCAGGAAATGGAGGTAATTTATTGCAAGAAGTTCTGTAGTTTATTAAAATATTTTTTATTACTGCCGCAAGGAATGAGTACATGAACATATTTTGTTACTTAATAAGGTCTTAAATTAATTACTATTTATGAATTTTCTAATACTAAGTAAATGCTGTCACATAAGAAAGTGTTTGGAGGAATACCCAGAGATTATGAAAATAATCTTTTTTTTTTTTGCTTATGTTATTCATGTTGTTCAGTAGTTTGAATAAATGAAAATGTTTATGTTATTAGTTAAGGAAAAATAAATGAAAAAATGCAGTGTAAACTATAACAGTAGTGCTTCTTGTGCAACCTTTAATGAAAAGGTTGCCTCTATTTTACAATTTTGCATCAAACGGATGTACAAAAACTGGACAAACTAAGCTTCATCTGCACTAGTATCCTGGTACAAACTGTTTTCAGTTCTCTAGGGACATATAGGTGGAATGAAACAGTATTTTCTATCGAATCCTCTTTATCATAATGTAGACTGAGTCCAACTTTAAGTGTGCCTTTTGGGGTATATTTTAGTGTCTTCAAAAGGAAACTATATTATTTTCCAACTGACTAGTTTTTCCCACTGACCTTATTCTAATAGCTGTATTTCAGTGTCATCCCCCATGTTTGCTGTGTCATTAATATAGAGACAAAATACAAGTTGATGTTTAGTGACTTTAGGAATTTGTGGTTTTGTACAGCTTATTGATACATAGAAACAAAATTTTATGTGAGCACGTGATTTATTTATAGCTTCTTTAGAAGCTGGTGATCTGGAATAAAGTCTTGAGCACTTTATCCCAGTTATGTACTGTGGGTTTATGTAGGAAATGTTGTTTAAAAGCAACTCTCATTGTTCCATATTTTTTGCGTAGTCTGTCTATGGCTTACAAAATGACGTCCGAAGTCACAGCCCTACTCACACACCAGTACCAGAGTCTAAGCCTCCCACAGAAGATGAACTACACCAAGAGGTTTGAAAAATAACTACAAGCATTTACTTTTAAATGAACTTTTTAGGAAAGTAGGTAGTAAACCAAAAATTGTCCTACCTGGGAAGTATGTTCAGAGTAGATCTGTGAATTGCTTAGTAGACTCTTTCCTTGCACCATGTATATGGACTTAGGTATGTAATTTCTATTAAAATTAATGAGACAAAACGTGACATGTTTTATATCTCAGATGAAACAGTTGAAGGCAGAAACAGTCCAGTTGGTGGGTTCTTTGCATAGCTCAGCCCATTAGCTCCTTTAGTATTACACTCCTCAATCACTCTTCCTTTCACCACTTTGATTTGAGCTATGGGGGCACACTAACCTTTCATTGTGTGCATATATGGGTTCACACATTTATCTGTTGTTAATATTTCATTAGTCTTTCCTGAGTCATTAGAAATGGGAGAAGGTAAATGTCTGAAGAGTTAGTAGCTTTCTTCAAAAATCTAAAAAAGGCTAATTGAACTTCTTTAATGAACCTGTAGGGAAAAATGTTACATGTTACAATGGGTCTTTTTTCTTTTTTTTTTTTTTTTCCTCTATATATTCTTTCTCTTTGATGGAAAATTCCATTTATTTTAGAACTACACTGATGAAGTGTTGTTTTATTTCAGATATACTTCTTTTCTGTGCCCCAGGGTAAATTACAGCCCTAATAAAAAAGTTATGGAAATAGAGCCAAGCAATGAATTACTCATAACACTCTGCTTTCCTTTCTCACAGATTAAACACTGGCAAATGCAATTAGACAGACATCGATTAAAAATGTCAAAAGTTGCAGAGAGGTAAGTATATTGTCACATCTTCTGTTTTTTCAATTAGACTGATAACTATTTGGAAAATGTCAGCATGAAATAGCTTGAAAGAAAGAGAGGCAAGAGAACTCACGTCACAGAAATAACTGAAGAGAGTTTAAGTGTGAGGTATGAATTTTTTTTTCTGATAAAACATGGCCCAGATATTCCTGATAAATTCAAGTCACTGTAGTGGCCTCTGACCAAGTGTTCTCAAGTTTCCCCTTGCATTGACAGGGAGGCTAACTAGAAATAGGTCTGTGGTTATAGTTTGATATTTCGAAAGGGTAATCACTGACAAAGCAAGGGATCTGATTGATAGAGCTTGCTGGGTAATGAGCTCTCAGCTTGAGCAACATGGCTCTGAGCTTACATCCAACAAGAGCACATAACACCAGCAGGAATCTCTTTCCAAGTTGGAACAAAATATGCAAGCAAGGGGCTAGACACCAAACCATTCAAAACGGCTCTTTAGAAAGTTCACCTTCAGTTTAGGTAAAGAAAATGTCTGCTGTATCTTACGGATCATGAAGTGATCCGTACATGGATAAAGTGAAAACTGCAGAAAGATTAAGCTGCATAAGATCAACTGAAGGAGATAAAACCAAACACATCTTCATCATATCATATAGGTGTGTCCACATGTGTTTGCTTATATATACATATTTATGTATTCACATGCATTGTGTTCTGCTTGCTGAACAGTAGAGATTATGGACTAAGTACACTGTAAGCAGTAAACAACAAGAAGTAATATTTTTCCTCACTTTTCAATGATTTTCAATAATTATTAGACAAAAAGAAAGTGGGAATTAGAACATGGGAGACGTAAAGTAACAGAACACAATATAAAGAAGTTTTTGGTTTGTTCATGGGATTCAGACCTATTCATGAACCCTGAAGTTTTTTGAAAAAAACAACTTTGTGTTTTTTGGGGATATTTTTGGACATATTAGGAAAGTTTGTAATTTATTTTATTTCAGCTCTTGGTAAGAAAGACTCGAAGCACGCTATTTCTTCAAGGATCCACAAGTTCAGTGTTAATGGAATCATTAATTTTTTTAAAGCATAGCAAACATATTTTAGCTTGAGCTTGTAGGTTGTTTTGGAATGTACATGTACCTGGTTACAGCGGTTTGGTTGAGGCATAGTAGCTTCTTGACTGGATAACACAATAAGGTTTTCTCTCCTCCTGACATGACAAATGTTTGATGCTCTTGTTTTCCTAGTCTATTAGCTTATACAGAGCAGTATTTGGAATATGATCCTTTTCTTGTGCCCCCTGATCCCTCAAACCCTTGGATATCTGATGACACCACTTTCTGGGAACTGGAGGCAAGGTATATATTTTTCCTTTGTCTTTTGGGTGAAGGGTACTTAGCAGGCTTCTCTTGAAATGTGAAAGTTTCAGGCAGAAAGAGGCATTGAAGGAAAATACTGAAGCAAAAGTAAATGCAATATCCTTTTAGTCTTTCTAGCTTCAGAAGATGTGAAGAGCTATGGATTAATAAATCTATGTAAAGTTACTGTAACCAGTCTATAGGATTCCAGTGTGGGGAAGAAAAACATGACTTTTTGAAATCTGGTAACATTTGCTAGTTGGAAGTCCTTTTTCTTCTGCAAAAGTGAATGCATTTTATCTTCATCCTGTCTGAGCAATAACAGCCTGGTTACTCATTGCTGAACCTTGCACTGATGTGAGCAATCTGGAAAGTGAGAAATTTCTGGCTGAGCTCTAGGACTTTATCTGCTATATTCTGTACATAGAGCACTAAAACACTGAAGTATTGCTGATTGTGGGTTTTATTGCTTCCTTTCCTGTAGCAAAGAGCCAGGACAGCAGAGGGTGAAACGATGGGGATTTGGCATGGATGAAGCTTTGAAAGACCCTGTGGGAAGAGAGCAGTTTCTCAAGTTTCTGGAGTCTGAATTCAGTTCAGAAAATTTAAGGTGAAATACTTTATGTTTTAGTAGCTCCTAAGAAACTTCTTATTTTCTTATTAATATTTTTGGATGACATATTCTTTCTTGATTTCAATCCCATCAAAAGTTATCTTGTGTCTTATGTTTTGGAGTCAATTCATGTGGATTGCTGCTGGTTTTTATATTTAGGTTGAGAGAAAAACTAATATAATTAGCAGAGACTCGCATGAAATGGTCTCCTATTCATATTCAACTTTTGGTCCAAATACCCACATAAAAGACTTTCTCTCAGCTCATTCTATTATACAGCATTAAAACACTGACCCACTTAAAACCTATGCAGTAGCTTTTATTATGTTTGGTTTTATGAAAAAAGTAAAGTTTTAAAGAAAAATTGTTAAAAAAAATAAAGTATTTAGAAATAAAAGTTAAAACTTTCACTGTTGGTCCCGTTTATGTGGATTCTTGGTCTCTTGAAAAGCTCCACGAAGATCATATGGATCAGACACAGAAGTAATGTGATGTTCACCTTTCAAATTCCTTACTAATTGCAAAATGCAAATTTGTTTTTAGTGTATGAATCTTAAATCACACATGTATATAAGCAGTATTATTTCAAAAAGATTATTCAAAGTACTATTCCAAATATTTCAAGAGAAGTATTCTTTGACTTAAAGAAATAGTATTCCATCCATTGGCTTTCAGCACATCTAGTATTGCTATTCTGAGGAAGTCTAATGGTAGGGATTACTTCAGAGGAACCAATAGCAGTATTTCGACTGATGAGTCAGACTGTATATAGCTCATAAGCATGTATGCCACTGTTTTCACTATGTTCCATCTTGTCAAATGTCATCTGTTTCACTTCTCATTCACCAATAGCATAAGGAATATAAAATCCTATTTACTTACATTACAAAACTTAGAAAATTCCTGAACCTCATTTTTGTGTGTGTATGTGCCTGCACTTAGTCCTAAGCGGTGCAGTATAACCTTTCCTTTTCCTTTACATAGCATTAGAGTTACCTTTACATAGCATTTTACAAGAGGCATTTAGCACTTTGTGGTGTTGGTTCCTTAAATGCTCAGTAATTGCACAAACCTCCTTGTTGTTAATTTAGGATTAACTGCGGAATAACTAGAGATGGATTTCTCTAAGTTGCTGACCATGTTCATACTTTGAACTTTGCATCACAAGTATATATTATGTACTCTATACCTTATATTTCCCAAATGACTTTTTTTGACTTTATCTCTCTGGAAATATAGCTCAAACATGGAAATATAGCCTGATTTCCATGCTGATAAGTTCATTAGTGACATATAAAGATTTTTTGTTAATTAACAAATCCAGTGATGAACTCAGCATGATACCTAAAGAGGGAAAAAAATCCATTTTTTCACTCACAAAACATCCTGGCAATTCCTTACGCAGAGCAGCTGTTCAAACATAAACCTATCCAGCCTGGTATGTACTGCAATTTCAGTGTGTTTCTGTGATTCATTTGTCTCTCTGCCAACTACAGTGTTACCCACATAATCCCCAGCTCTTTTCTCTAATCCTATTTACAACACTAACCACAGGCAAACTGCAAGTGACTGATCCAGAAAAATACACTGGAGAAATTTGTTCAGAGCTGATTCCTTGACATGCCATCTTCTCTTCCATCTCTCTAGATTTTTACATCAGTATTATAAAATACCTAACAGCAGCAGTGAATGTGAGCTTAAAGGCTTCATTGGGAAGAATCGGGCAGAGGATCAAATTCTTACTTTAAAGGGGCTTTCTGTGATATTAACTGAAAACTGTCTCACAAGCTCTGAATTATATTTATGCGTTCTCAAACTGGGGAAATCAATCCACAGTTAAGCTCAAACAGTAAAATCAGGTTACAAAGCATGAATTTGTAAGGCTCATTGCATATGAGAATAAAAATATTACAGGTCACACTAAGAGAAATTAAAAGCATTTGGGGCATGGTGGTTTCAAGCGTTACTATTAGAAAAACCTTAAATTTAAAAGACTACCTGTTCGTTTGCTCAGTTATTAACCTCACTACAGCAATTTGTTTTTCCTTATTTTTGAATTTGACAGCCACCTTGAACAAAATGTTTATTTCCATTCACTCTTCCAACTGCAACAGTGTGAATTCAAGTCAATAGCTAGCTCTTATCCTTCTAAAGTCATAATCAGTAAGTGCCATTAAACTCAAGGGAGGTAATACAGCTGGGACTGTGGATTCAAGTTACCCAGTACAGTACAAGAGATACTCAAACACTACAGAGAGAATCTAATTGATTAGAATTCTTATACCTCACTTCAAAACAAACAATCACAAAAGCCTGAAATGTGAATCAGTTGTTAAGTCTACCATATACACCATTTGTATTCAAGTGTAATTGTCTAAGTAGTTAAATGTCCCAGTATTACTGTTTCATTGACTTGAACTGAGAGTGCCTAAACCGGCTGAGAACCTGAGTCTTAGAGGATATAGATTGCGTTTTGAGAAACAGAACAGGGATAAAGAAACTTGAGTCATGAGTTAAAACTAAGAACTGTGCAATCTGATCTAAATGTGATCCCTGATCTAAATGTGTATGTCCTGATCTAAATGTGTATGTTTGGTGGCCCTGCTAGGCAGGGGGGTTGGAACTACATGATCCTTGAGGTCCCTTCCAACCCAGGTGATTCTGTGATTCTGTGATTCTATGAATCAAGGGGAATGCAATCAGAACTCCTTTTTTTCTGTCCCTCTCTGTTGTTTTTCTTTCTTTGCCCATAAATTGGAATTAATAGTATTTCCCTCTCCAGGGGTGTTGTGAAGGGTAGCAAAGGAATGCTCCTTCTGAGGGAGATATTGAGTAAAACTGTAAGCCATCTCATGAATCTAGTTCTGCTTGATCATTTAGCAGTGAGCTCTTCAGAAAGCCTGATAAGGTTTATCAGCATGGCAGCTTAATTGCAATGTGATTGAGTTTTACTAACAGCCAGAATGGATTCTTCATTCACCTAACATATCTACGAGTTGTAATCTCTCCTTATCATGCAGCTGTTTTGAATGCATCACTTTGCATACAGTTCAATACAAGAGAGCAAACACCTGAAGTTTGGATAATTTATAAAAATTCCCACTGAGTATTACAAACATGGTGACCAATATTCAGAATTCATGAGACTTCAGTTTTGGCATGATCCAGTGCTACTGAATTCAGTTGCAAGGCAGTTCAAGCATGGGAAAGGAGATTTTCAAAGAGTAACCTAGTGAAATGAATCTTATGGAAACGTGGCACCTGGAAACTGAATTTCTTCACCTCTATAGAAAATTTCCATTCCTCTCCCTACCCTTCTTTTGTCTTCATGCTGCAGAATTTTTTGGAAAAATAGCATTCATGTGAACTGTACGTTTGCTCCTACGTGGTTGTTTTGTAGGATTTACCAACGATTGGAAGATCTAAATAATTTCAGTGCTGCCAATCTGAAAACCTGTCACAGTCTATTATGCAGTACTGCAGTAGGGGTGATCTCCAAAGTTGCAAAAGCCTCACAGGTTAATGAATGGAGGACAGTGACAGAGCATCTTCCCTGATACACGGAAGCAAAAGCCACTGGACCTGTTGCCCTTTCCTTTGACCCTCATTTACTATCTTCCATATTGAATGAACAAGTTAAGGAAAAGAGGCACTGAGTTCTGTCTGTTCAGAGAAAGGAAAGGGACTGAGAAATTAGTTAAATTAAGTTTTCTTTAAGTGTTTTCTCCTGATGAATTTGGATGTGCTCAGACCTCTGCAAGCTGAGATTGTGAGAAATTTTTATCATGGACTCCTAAATTGCTGTAAAAATGTTCTACACTGGAAATAGAGGCTGTGATTATGTCCTATAAAATAAATGAATTAAAAAGTATTACCAAAATGTGTAATTTTTGCCCACAAATTGTTTCAGTCATGGTGCTTAATTTTATGTTTTATTTACTCCAGGGTACTGATAATTTTTTTAATTACAGCATGACAGTACTTTTCTAGAGCACTAGGGGGAAAATGGTGCAAGAAGCAAAGTTCTTTTTCTTAATCCAGCTTGTTTCTTCTTTTGTCACTCTTTGTTATTGATGACCAGTCTTCACTAACAGGGAAGTTATAAAGGTATGATGAACAATCAACTGTACTTGATAGTGTAGCAAATCTGAACAGAAGCACTGGTAGCTACTTTCTTTGAGGTACTGCTAGTGTTTATATCTCATACCGTTGATTATGAGACCTTGTTCTAAGTGCTAATGTGGCCAAAATGTTATCTTTGAGGCTGAAATTACCTGTGCTGTACTTCCGTTTTAGTCAGAAGTGTAAACTCCCAAGTCCCCAAAATATTGTAATTTCTGCAGATCAGAAGACACTAATTACCAGATTTAATTCCCTCCCATTTTTTTGAAGAACTCGTGTGCTACTATATTTGAAGTTGTATTTGGCAAGAAGGTGGTTTCTAGGAGTCAAAAAGTAATCTTTCATGCAGCCAGAAAAAAATGCTAGCTGTTTTTCTCAATGCAATTTGTTAATGTCTTGCTGAAAGTGCTGAGGTCTGTCTCTGACCTGTTGTGACACATACATGGGTTGCAAAGCCCATGGAAAACCCACCTTGCTTTCTCAGTGTTGCTTAATTCTCACACATTTGTTGAGAATCACTGCAGCTTTTTTCCTCTGTCTGTGTTCTGATGTTGCTATGTGCTAAATATAACTGATTAGCTTAATCTGGGATCTGCTGTTGGCTGCCTCAGTCATTTAGGTCAGTTAATGGGACAGAAGCTGGGATGCAGCTGTGCTATTTATCTGGCACGGCCACCCACACTTTGAAAGTTTTCCAGCTGGAGGACGTAAGCCCCAGATGTCTTTCAACATGTGTCCTATCATGTTATGTGGCTGGAGGTACAATTCTCATGCTATACACTCTCACTCAGCCATACATCTGGCTCGTGACCTAGTATGACACAGCCTAAATGCTGGGATGAACAAAGCAGCAAGGTTTATACCCTGACCCTCAGACTGTCTATTCAAATGGTACTGAGCATCCTCTAGCGATGGTCTCCATGACTGAAGCTAACCTACATGAACAGGATTTTCAAGTTTCATTCAAGGAAAGAGACAAAGCTCTAGTTCCTTCTGTGAAATGTACAACCAAGTCTGTGCATAGATTTGTCCAGAAAATGCGCTTGGAATTCCCTCTATCCTCTCTTCCCCTTTCGTGTATTTACTGTTGCAGACATACCCTTTGCTACTGGAATTTTACCTTGCTCTAATCACAGCCCGCAAGGCAGAGGTATAAAAGCAGACAGGTGCATCTTTTTGAGGCCTCTGCTGAGGTCTTGCAGAATCCATTTCCACTTCCTTCAATAATCTGTGCTTTTGGTAGCCATGTGATACTCAGAAATGTTATTTTAGAAAATGCAAGAGGTAGCAGCCTCTTTTTTGGCCTTTCCTAATTTTGCATATTTGACTTTAACTCTTATGTGGGAGGAGGGTAAGCATTTTTTCTAAAACATGGATTAAGAAATTGAAAAGTAGATTAAATTAGTGAACTCGGTTTTGGCTGTGAATAAGCTTCTTAGATGGAGCATGCTGCAGAAATCAGCATTTTCTTCATGCTTTTAAAGTGTTTTCTATATTTAGAGCCTCGTATTTCCAATAGAGCTTTTAAATGCTAATGTTAGAAGGGTGGAATAAAATTAATTTATTGAAAATCTGATGTTGAGCCTCTAAGAATGTATCTATGCAACCTTGCTGTTCCATATTGGAAGCTTCTATCTCCCATCTATTTTCCCATAATTGAGTATAACCTACTGTATGGAAACAGTTCATTGAGAAAGAAAATAGCATCCTAAGGCATACTTGTAGTGACTTCCAGAGATACTGGCAGTCATATAAAGGAACAAACAAGAATGTGACAGCTTTGAGCTAGATACTCAGGCTGTCTGCAGGGTGATAGAAAATGTATGTTTACAAAGAACATCCTTCTCTTTCATTTTTCTGTTCCTTACCTGACTTTGATACACATGAGTAATCAGTCAGTCCCAGAAGATGCATATAAAGGGGTTGGCACTGCAGGATATGCACTTTTAGATGCAAATATTAAAAGTAGCTTAAGGAAACCAAAGTAGGTTGCCCAAATTTGACAGAGTGAACTGAGTTAAAGTTTCTGAGCTGTGCCGTTTTAAAACTTGAGTTATGAGGCCTTTATACATACTGCATTGCCGTCAGATTCCCAGAATATATCTGTGGGCTTTGTGCAGAACTGTTTTCAATTCATATTGCAGATCACACAGATAAGTGGTTCTACTCAGAATATTTGAAACTAAAGTTTTTTTCTGTGTTGGCACAGACTCTGTGACCTTGGAGAAAACACTGTACATTATTAATGTATTTGCGAAACTGGGACAATATTACTTCTTTATCTCTTGGAGAATTTTATGGAATTAACAGGCTGAGAGGCTGTGTGTAAATACCATGCAACTGGAAGGTGCAGAAGTGCCTAAAATAGTCAGCTTGGTATTGTGACACTGACTGTAGTGGCTTGGAACCCATGAGCACAGGCTCCTTCCATCCAGCACACTATAAAGCAGTTTTGAAACAGAACTGAAGGATTAATTGCTGCCCAGAAGGTAAATTATCTCAACTGAAGAATGTGTCATAATAGGAATACTCTAAGTTTTTCTTTAAAGTGCTTTACTGTCTCTTATGATTTGTTGCAGTAACTATATTATGACTTGGACTTAGTGTGGTATTATTTCATTTACCTTAACACCCATCCACAATTCCTCTCTCCAACCATTCACTCTTGGACAAAGCTAGGAGATTTCAGATTGATTTTATGTTTTAAGCAGGATTGAACCACATCTTAAAAGTCCACCTAAATTAGCTGTCAGCCTTGTAAAAAACTGACTTGTTTCACACACATCAGCCGACCTGTTTCATAGAGCCAACCATATCAAAACAATACTGAAAAGTTGTATCTTTTGCAGTGGTTGCATATGTAACATGATAAAAATCATACTTCAATTGAGCTCTCTGAGGAAAAAAGAACACAACAGTGTAAGGGTTCTGTAGTGTACATAAGCATGACATCCTGATTTAATTTAATTGAATTGTGTGCAGTGAGAGTTCTAATAGCTGTAAGAGAGGTAACAATTAAGAGCTCCTAATAGGAAATAACAACAGAATAACAAAGTTCATAGTTAGCTGGCTGTGATCACAGCTCAATCAAGCCCATTCTAGTGATCCTTCTCTAGAATGAGAAGGATGACTGTCACTGTGGTTGCCTGATGCTGGTTTGCTCTGCAGCAGGAGAATGGGTGCTTCTGTTCAATGCTGCAGTTAAAAAAAAAAAAAAAGTTTAGAAATGCAATGCTGAACAAATAAATGAAATTATAGAAATGCTTTTCTTTTATATACATAATTTATGGAGTAAAAGTAGGAAAACTGTCAATACAGTTATTTGGCTGATAGCTTAGCAGGACTTAGATTTACATAGATACCAGGAGCATGAGTTCTTATTAGCTTCTGAAGGAATGTCAAAAAGCAATAGGTTTATAAGTGATGTAAGACCTTGTGACTCAGGTGAAATGAAATCTCAGTTTAATTCCAGTTAAATGAAAACTTCCTAAGAAAGCTACACCTACATAAGAAATGAAGCATTTCTCACCTCTCTTGTCTAGGCTTGTAATTGCTTTTTATGGCAGTTGGATTGCCTGACATGGCACCAGTCTTGATCCCAGAATACATTGATAGATTTTACCTATTTTCACATGTTTTATATGAAACCTATAGTTACCTTACTCTTTTTTTTAAGAGCAGAGAAAACTATCACTATTTCATTAGTGATTATATTGAGCTGGAAGTCAAGATGATGTGTTGTGCCATAGGTTCTGGTTAGCAGTAGAAGACCTGAAGAAGAGGCCTATCCGTGAAGTTCCTGCTCGTGTCCAAGAAATCTGGCAAGAATTTCTTGCTCCAGGTGCACCCAGTGCCATCAATCTAGATTCAAAAAGTTATGACAAAACCACGCAGAATGTAAAAGACCCTGGAAGATACACATTTGAAGATGCTCAGGTCAGTTTGCAATTCTTTTTATGGAAATCTGAAACAGAATATTGGCTACTGAGATGCATATGCATAAAATAGGATATATTTGAGAATTAAACAGTAAAGTTCTGTGTTCCAAACTGATATTTTGGAAATTCAAATGTGTAACATTTATTTGCATCTGGATGCTTCAAGCTCAAAAAAGGGATAGGTTAGATATAAGGAAGAAAGTCTTTTACAGTTAAGATGGTGAGGCACTGGAACTGGTTGCCCAGTGATGTGGTTAATGCTCCATCCCTGGACGCTTTCAAGGTGAGGCTGGATCAGGCCCTGGGCCACCTGATCTAGGTGTGCATGTCCCTGTTCATTGCAGGGGAGTTAGACTAGATGGCCTTTAAAGGTCCCTTTGAACTCTGAGGATTCTATGAGTCTACGATTCTATGATTAATTCTGTTGATGAAACTTCTGTATCCGGAGTCTTCAACTGGGTTAGGTATGCATCAATTTCTAGTTCTCAAGATCTGCCCGTGAAGGACTTCCCTTGATACATACTCAGTGTCTTTTCTCTCAGTGCTCATCCAAAACTGCTGCTGTCATTTATAATAGTGAGGCTTCTCATCGCAAAGAAAATCTGACTCATGAGAAAAAAACTTGATAGTGGCTTATGCAGAAATATCATATTCCATGGATGTTGTATTAAATTATCATCTACAGAACATCCTAAGGATGTATTCTTTGATAAGCAGTATAATAGGAGTAAAGAACAGTCTGTAAATGTCTTATCTGGCTTTTGGGGATTTGACTTAGTACATTTTTGAATACCATAATCAAAAGATACTTTCAATCAGAGCTAGGTTATGAAGATGCTTACTTTTTGGGATGGGAGCATAAGTTAAAACAAAGCAGTAAAATACAAGTTTCTGTTTTCCTCAGGGGAAAAAAATAAAACTGAAAAACAAAATTCCCCCCCACCCGCCAAAAAAACAAAAAACCCAAAAACAAAAAACCCAAGCACCTAAATTGTAAATGAAATTTCATTTGACTCATAGCTTAATATTTTATACTTGAAGACTTCTGAGAAATACAACAGAAATAACTTGTTTCACAATAAAAGCTGTAGAACTACTCCTGCCCTCCCTTTTTCATAAGCAGCCTAGTGATGAAAATTTAATTATTAATACAAAGTGAAATGGTGTCAAAAGGAGAGATTGAGATCATATCCCTACAGAATATTCTACAGCTTGATTATTAGGACATCAACTTGGAAGCCAGGAGATACTGTTCTAAGACCCTCAAAGCAGAAAGGAAATTGAGTCTGACAATCTTTCTACTTTTTGGGAAAGTGCCTCTGCCCTAAGTAGGAAGATGAATAATTCTACCAATATAAAAAGAAAGAAAATTTGTGTGCTCTCATATTGCTGTTATAATAGCAACCTATGATGAAACAATAATATTGTCATTAAACACTATATCATTCATAGTGATTTTAATAAGCCAAACAAGTGGGTGTTGCTTACATATACTGAGCCACTGGAGATTTAGGAATTTAGCATACAGCAAAAACAAGTTGCACAAATAAAAGCTCTAGCAAGTTCAGAGGTTGAAAAGAAAATACTTTTTTGCAATTGAGTCACAAAATGAAAATTTAATTCTTTGCCAGCATCCAATTTTTGTTTCATAAAAACAAAGTTTCAACGTAATTTTACTTCCAGATTTACTTCTTTTTTTTTTTTTTTTTCTTTTTTTCTCCCCTTCAGTTTCTGAAAGAAGTAAAGTATGCTGTCCAGATGCAATAAAGGATTTTTTCCTGCATTCAGGCTTCCGTGTATTTGATGCAGTTCAGCATACAGCTCGAGCCAGGAAGGATCCATTTTGCAGAGTAAAAGGGGCAAGCCTAACTCCAGCTTGATGCTTTACCACCTCTCATATTTGTGCCCCACCTGCAGTGGCAGAGTTCAGCCAGTAGTGGGGCTCTGCCTCTTGGGAAAGGGACCACTGATAACTCATTTTTGGCAGACATCAATCATTTAATTGTGCTTTAAAATGCTTTGAAAAGCATTTCTGGACTTGAAAGATGGTACTGTGGGATTCCATATCAGATGAGAGTGACACAAAAGTAAAAATAGACCAATTGTGCTAAATAATATCCATCCTCAATTTCCGACTTATTGTACACTAACAATATTAATGCAACCTAATTTAGTCTTGTTTTTATAGATTTGTGCACAGATATAGCATTTTAATGCCCATCATCAGTGATATGTACGTCAGTACCAGGGTCCCTTCTGCTCTCAGTTGCCTGAATCAGCTGCTCTTGTATAAACTGAATGGAATTAAAACTCCCCAAATGAACAAGCCTGAGTTCTGACTGTATGCCAGAACTTCTTGGCTTAGTGTGGGAAGCACAATGAAAGGCACTTAGAATCATTCTCTAGAGTTTCTAACAAATCAAAGATAAAAAAATAAGCTTTAATTTTACATCACTATAATTTTAATTTGTTTTTTTTTTTTTTTTCTTTTCATTAATTGCATGCAGTACCAACCTCAAAACAGTATTTACTGTAGAGTTTATTGTTTCCTGTTTGCTCTGCTAAAGTTTCCTGTGGTAGAAGGTAGGGCTTAAGTGAAAAAGAAAATGGAAACGGCTAGCACAGTGCAGAACGTTTCTTAAAATACTTTTGTGAAAATATTTCCTGTTCAGATCGCTTTTTCTAAAAATTCCTCTTCTAACATTATAACTGGAATGAGATTATAAAATGTTTTATGTTGTAGATTTTTAGTGAGGGTTTTTTTTTCCCATTTGTTTCCTTGTTTATTTTGATTAATTTATTTTAAAGTGATGAGAATGTTGAGAAGAAAAGCTCTATAAACTGCCTGTGTCACTTCTTTCTCCATTAGTGCTATCAAATTTTTATATGTCTCTGAAGAATAAATATCTTGAAAATTCGATTAGCCTGGAACTGTTTTTCAGTTTGCATGTGCATTTTCCTTTTTATATTATCAGCTGGGTAGCAGAATAAACATCTCTCAAATAATGCTTCCAAGAGTAGCCAGGGGACACCCTCTCTAGGTTAAGCACTTATCTGTAGTGCTAAATTAGAAACCTACCACCTTTTCAAGCATATCAAGTCAGAAAAGCATCTCCAGAAACGAGCTGAGAAAATCTGATGGGAAAGGATTTGAGTTAAGCAATGTGGTCGCTTAACTGAACTGACTGATGTAAGGAAGGTTTCAAACTGGGCTTTAAGATAGAACTAAGTTATAAATTCTCAGAAAAAATAATTCTGTAAGAAAATAGGGACAGTAAGTTTAAGGAAGGTGTGCTATATCCTTTATATGTAACAAATAAGTGGAATTTCTGGTTTAATGAAGGAAAGCAACTCATCTTCAGCTGAGGAACTGCAACCTCAGCTAACCTTACCTCATAACACTGCCTATTCTAAATAGTGGTAGCTGGCTAAAGATATACAACTGCCTCCTGTTTTACCTATATCTTCTTTTGTGGGAGTAACAACACTTTCTTTTCCTTTCAGGAGCACATTTACAAACTGATGAAAAGTGATTCTTACCCTCGTTTTATACGATCCAGTGCCTACCAGGAGCTGCTACAGGCCAAGAAAAAGGTATTGGTCCATCTTGCCTTTGTCTTGCCACTGTGCAAAGCAGTGGTTATGTTTGCAACAATACTCAGTCTTCTCTCCCCTGTGCCAGTGCAACTGGATATCTGGTAGGTGACCAACTTGGCGTATTTGGAGGGTCACATATACACAGGAATTCAATATACATATGTGTGTATATATCTGCATGTGGGCATGTTGCAATAAGTTATTCTAGCAAAACGTATTTTTATTTTTACATCCCATATTGTACTGTTTTCTCTGTTATGAAGCACCTTAAATTGCAAAGTGCTTTACAGATTCATTAAAAAAATAAAATAAAATCCCAGAAGAATAGTCTTTCATGTTTGCAAGTTTGCTTATGTAATAACTGTTGTTCTCTTTATTCCACCTGTAAAATCGACAGAATGTGTTTAGAAACAGTCTCACTCATATGAATAACTTCTGATTCCAACTATAAAAATAGGGGCTTCCTAATCCTATTTCTTTCCCTATTATTACATGAATAGTTTCAAACAGATCAGAAATATGAATTGAAAGACTGATCATGTCACACTTGTACAAACAGAGGCTCATGTATTGGCATGTAATGTTTGCTTAGAGAAGCCCAGACTCGGAATTGACTCCTGAAAAGGCACAGCCCAGAGTATGTGGAGCAGCTTGTGCAATGCAGAATCCTATAAAGATAAATAATTTTATTAGAGGGCTCTAAATAGTGATCTCCTAGAGTCACCTGGGAGCCGTGTGCTTGCAAAATCAGGACCCTGTCATTGCTGAAATGAGGTAGTTATTGACATCGTAGCATTCTACTGTTTATAATGACAACCTAAAATTATATGAAAGTACTGTGTGATTTTGTTTTTTGTTCAAACATTGATTTCTGAAGATCCAATATAGAGAGAAATGTTGAAAATACCAGAAAGCTACAACTGTCCGTGTGAAGTCCTTAAGTTTGTGATTGTCAGTTCATTAACACAAGATGTGCACTTCATTATTTCTTTTTATTTTCAGTTTTTCTTTTAAATCAAACCGTTTTGATTCCCATGAAAAATGATTTTTGTCAAATACTATATCTGCTTTGCCCATCTGCTGTTTTGCAGAGTCCCATTACAGCTTCATACCTATGTTTGCTTCCTTATTTATACAAACTTTGTTTTGCAGTCCATTGTTTCATCAGTCCTTTTCTACTCCATTTTTTCTTGCTTTTCTTTTTCCCCTCCTTTTTCTTTTAATTTTATTTTAAATTTAAGTTGGAAAACACACTGGATCGTCGAACATCTTTTGAGAAATTCACACGCAATGTGGTAAGTTTGTTGCCTCGGAAGACTAGTAAACCTGATGGGACATCCTTCTCCTTTCCCCCTCACCGAACCTTCCTTTCCCTTTTTGCTTCTCTAAACTGACAGTTAAAAGTCTGTTTATCACAGTTTGTGAATTTTCCTAGGAATGTCAGCTTTATAATCTACTTTCATTACAACCCCTCCTCCCTATTCCCTTTCCTGCTGACCTCCACACATGGAGCAATGGAACTTTGGAACTTTGGGAGCCATGCTTTTTACACTAGGAAGCATGAAATGATTTGCTTCTTTTTTTTAATTTGTAGTAAAGAATCTGTGAAAACCTGCTTGATGTTGTTCCTTTTTCCAGTGCCTCCCAAAATACTAAGCCTGATATAGTTTAAGTATAATGGATTTCATTGCTGTCTCTTTTTTTTTGGTTTTACTAGAAAAGCATTTGTCCCATTTTTGTAATTGGGGACAGTGAAAAATGAACAATAATAATTTCCCTTTCCCTATCCTCCTTAATGCACAGCTTCTTTAGGACCAAAGAATTGATGCTGATGATGCAGAAGGGTTTGATTAAGATTTCAATTTGTTTAAGGATACAGCAACCAATTATTTTTCTTTTTAATAATAATTTTGGAAATATATTTCACCAAGGTAAAATTGTGAAGGCTGTTAAATTTGCTGTGGGCATTATGTTGCCACCAGCCAAAAGATCCACTGATTGCTTGAAATGTGGGATTCTTTTTACTTTTCCGGTTTCTTTGGATTTTTTTTTAAACTTTGTGAAAGTTCCAACTAAAGCATTCAACGCATTTATTTTTGTAGGGCAGAAACATCCCTATTTTCCCATGCCATAAAAACTGTACACCAACACTGAGGGCGAGCACTAACCTGTTATGAAAAGAGGTAGAAAGATCTTGGATTCTACTCAAGTTTGTCTGCATTGTCTGTTGAATTGTGCAGTTGATGCTGCTGTGTGTGTGTGTGCATCTGTGGCTTTTTCTGTGACCTGATTAGTGGAGCTGTGTGCATTGAAATGACAAATCTGAGAGCTTTCAGCAAAGATTATGGTTTTTGTTTTTAGTTACTAGGGAAGGAGAAGCAGTTCTCAGAAACTGCCTCCCATATAATGAGGCTTAAGAGTGTTTCCTCAAGTATTTAAATTGCATATATGTTCCAGTAATCAGAACAAGAAACAAACACAGTGAAAGTGCAAAGTTCTGTGAGGTTGCAGGAATATCTCACATGTTGAAACAAAACTGTAATCCTTTGACTACTTTCTTATAGGTAAAGGCTTCCTGTAATATGCTTTGAATCCACTGCAATCAGGATCAAATTTGAATTCAATGGGACAAAGTCAGTAAGACTAAAAAGTAAATAAACAGCCGCAAAGGAAACTATCTCAATGTTTGAAACAAAAACCCCTATTTTTTGCATGGTGGTGTTGCCATAGCATGTTGCAGTGTGATTTGTGTGTTGTCTGAACAGGTTGATCTATACAACGTTATATGTGACAACATTATACGTAACGATTCTACTTTCTTCCATGGAGATGTTTAACAGGAAGTTCCACAGTAATAAACGAGCCTGGGTTAATGAGAGAGAGCGCAGACAGTACATCTGGGACTCCTGAGAGGCAAGATTTTGCTCATCACAGTGCCTGGCAAACTACAGTATATAGGCTGGGTGTTTAAGTAGCCAGCTGATCAGGAACTGGTTATGATAAAAAGTATGTAAACAAGTGGCTGTAAGGAGAGAAATAGCAAGCTCCAAGCAGGTGCAAGGAAAACAATACAAAAAAGTGTAAAAGTGAACACAGACTGGGAGGCATTAAAGTTATTCTCTGATAGAGCATCAGCCCTGTACACCAGCACTGGAGCAGCATAGTGCTCTGCTGGCATGCCCAACATTCAGCGGCTAATTTCAGGCAGATGAGATGAGATCAGCAGGATGCTGGAGATGTAAGGCAGGCCCAATAACAAAGCTGTGAGCTAGAACAAGGGGAGTGAGGATTTCTGAATATGAAGCATTAGTACTTCATTAGAAGAGGGTGATTCTTTTCTCATGGTGTAAGCTATAATGTGAATACTGTGCATTTGCTTTTTCTCAAAGTACTGCCCTATGAATTTGGGCGGAATCTGTCAAGTTAGGTCAGCTGCAAAAGTAAAAAATATCACTTCTAAGCATACATTCCTGATGAGACGAGCAGCTCGGAAGGTTGCAAACTTCTCCAGAATATCAGGGTTCTCAAGTATAAACATTTTTCTGTGAGAGATCTGAGTTTTTAATCCCCCACAGACCCAGGACCCCTTGCCACCAGGGATCCTTATTCTTCCATTCTTGTTCTCAGTTATGATGAGTTTATAATGTGTAATTATGTGATTTGGTACACTGGTTCTAACATGCAGGGATGAGGCAAGTGTTTCTCAGAATATCCTACTGATTAACTTGTTCTACTGTGAAGGGACAGACTGTGGTAAAAGACCTGCTCTTCTGATTAATACAGAAAACAGATGTGAAACAGGTCTTCTACAGCTTAGCCAAATGTCTCTGAATGATTTATAAAGAAGAAAATTGTATTTTCACTTATCTTCTGACAATTTAGAAAATTTAGACTCATTTCCACCATTATTTTTCTCAATTACACCCAAGTGGCTTTGCATTGAACTAAATTAGACCTCAGTATTTTTATTTGAAATGTTAAAAAAAACCAACCAGTTGTATATAGGGACTGAACATGAGAGGATGATCTTGTGATTCATAACCTGATTTGTTAAGCTGAGACTATAAGAGATTTCTGAACCTTTTGTGAGCAGTAATTGGAAGTGGGTTATACTTGCAACAGAAAGCATTTGCTAAGCTAGAAAGTTTTAAAACTTTCTACATGCTATCTCTCGGTATTAATCAGAAAATTAAATTGAAGTCACCTAAGATAATCACTCATTATTTTAGTTTGGTGGGAAAAAACAGAAGTGAATCTATCCACACATAAAAACTAGGCTTAGCTTTGCATTTCTTTGAGACAAGAGTTTTCTTTTCAGAAAGCTTTCAGTAATTCAGTGCACTTTATGAACGCCCTATATGCACAACTAAAAGCACTAGTTATTTAGCTTGCTCTGTAAATTATACAGCACAGTTGCTAATGCTTTTGGCAGTCTGCAACAGTGTGAATAGTGTCAGAAACATGTTTATATAAGATACAACATAGGTAAAGTAATAGCAAACTTGTATTTGCTGTGTGTAATATTTTGTCCTAAATAAAAAGTTAGGAAACTACCTCAAGTAAAACATCTACACAGCATAGGAAAAAAAAAACAAAACAAAACCCACAAGTGAAGGAAGGTGCACTGATAACACTGATGGGAGAAAAGAGGTCCTTTAAGGAAGACTTTAATTTCTCCTTCCCATCAGGAACTGTGACAGTAGCAGACTGGTAGTCTCTGAGCAACACACCTTTGTGAACACCTGCCTGTGTTTAGCTGTGCTCAGTGGTCCGGAAACCCAGAACAAAGCATTTCATTTACAGCACAGTAGGCTCATTTCTTTTCCACTACATGCAAATTTTCCTGTCTTGGCAGGAGACCAGTTAACAGGGCAGTAAGGTGCACTCTTTTCCTTAGAACCCCCCTGGGGAGATGCTCCATCACTGCATGTGGGTGTGACAGCTTCAGATGCCACCGCCAGTGTCAGAGTTTTATCTGTTGCTGCTTAACTGTCGAGGTGAAAAAATGGGCTTTTTGCAAGTTTGTGGTGTTTTATGAAAACAGTCAGTACAAAACTGAGCTAACTCAGTCCATTTATTAAACCAGAGTCATCAAATGATAACAGTCTTCACTCATAGCCTCATAAGCAACAACCCCATTTAATGACACTGGGTTTAAAACTACTATGTCTTACATTACCCATGCTCTTTCCACTTAGAGCTATCTGCTTCCACTTAGCTTAGAACTTGCTTACCAATTTCTTCTAAGGATTTTCCTCTCCAAACCAGTAAAATTATACTATTTAATGCATGAGATAAGAAATATGAAGGCCATGCAACACAGCACATTTTCACAATCCACTGTCCAGTGTAACTTAATATGAAAAATTGCGAATTATGGTCTAGAGGTGGAAATTAAAACTCTTTAAAATAGCTTCCTCTTTTCTTTTCAGTCTGGTATAGACTTTATAGATGTTTAAACTGATGTTGCCGTATTAAGAACTGCGCCTTTACTGAGAAATGCAGATATTAATTTCCCATTAGCCAATAATTTTTTTCTCCAAAGCTTTGAAAAATAAAAAATAATAAAAAAAAAAAACACAAAAACACAAACAACTCAAAACCCAAACCCTAAAAACAATAAACTTTCATAGAAGTGAGCCTTCTCTTTTTCAGGAAAGAGATGGCTTAATGAAAAAAAATATATATATATTAATTGAAATTTTGAGTTTGGACTAATAATTAGTCCAAAAATCCAGTGTTGGGTTGTTTTTGAGGAATGATTGCCCAGCTTAGTGAGAAAAATCAAAAGGAGAATCCCTGGGAGATGCCAGTGAAGGTTGGCCTCTTTGCCCAGTTCTGCAATGATGAGCTGAGCTGCCTTGCTTTGTGCTGGGGCGGAGGGGCTGCTGTGTGGTACTGGCACAGCTGGGTCTGTCTCCATTAGGAAACAGAGCGCTCCCATTCAGATTTTAGGCCAGTGACTGCCATTTCCCAGCTGACAAATATTTGCCTGTATCCTAAGCTACTGGAAGACTGAGAAGTACAAAGTGATAACGAACTGAACTGTTTGTCGAATGCATTGGCTCCTTAGAAAAATCTTAGATTCTACCCCATCCTTCCGATGGTTTTTCAAGTTAAAACTATCCCATCTGGAAAGAGCCTGCAGGTTAAGCAGGAATTAGAGCAGCTCATCAGAATATGCAGATTACTGGGGAAGGAGAAAGAGGAATTATCACCCAGTTTGGAACAAGCCAAACCAAGACTATGCAATTGCTCAGACACTCCTTTTTGTCTATGAACTGCTCCAGGAAAGGAACAGCTGCAGTGTAAAATTAGGAGAGGACTGCAAATCCTCACTATAGGCAAGAGGATTTTCCTGCACATGCAACCACTGAAGGTAGTGGTGAGAACTTGTCCCCTAAACTCAGTAAATGCTAACATCCTCCACTTCACCACCTTCCTGAAAGAGAAATACATTGGCACAACTGGATGAAAATCAAAGCAAAATCCTGACCCCCTGGGCAATGCTAAATCCATTTGCCTGCCTTGGAGGAGCAAGGGCTGGCTAAATCCTGACCAGAGACTTACTGTTTCTGTTCCTGTGCCTCTCCAGATGCGCTCCTGCCAAGGGCTGTTTATCTCAGCACTGCGAGTGGCACCAGGGATATCACCTGGGAACTTTGCCTGCTGATGCTGGCCAAGCTGCTGGCATTCAGCATGTTTGCCACACACAAGCAGATCAGGAATAGTGAGAGCAAGGAGGGCCAGTCCTCATTTTGTCTCATTTTGCTCCCAGTAGGGTGCATGGCATTCTCCCTATTGGATATGTGGTGTTCCCCTTTCCATTTCTATGAACTGGAAATATAAGTCCTAAAGACAATAAAGAAACTTGAAAAAGGAGTGACTGAGGTTGCTTAGCAGAAAGGATAAGAATTTGAAAACTATTCTTTTAACCTTCATATTTTTCAACTCTGGTCCCTATATAAATTTCACATTGGTCTCTTATAAGTCACATATGAATTGAAGTTGTTGCTGACTTGCCAGATTGAGTTGTTGGTGTCCAGCTACATAAATAGGTCAGTCAGCATACTTGTGTTCATAAATCTGCACATACTTTTGTAATTTTCTCCTCAAGCTCTCTAAAAGTACAATTGGAAGGACAACTCTGCATTTAAAAAGTTAATACATTAAGGTAGGTGAGAGAACGCTGAGGTCAGTTATTTGGTTTTCATCAATGTAATTGACTCCAGTTGTTCTGCTGCCTGCTTGTACTCTGACTCCCTTGTTGAGATACAGAATCACAGAATAATAGAATCCTTAGAGTTGGAAGGGGTCTTTAAAGGTCATTTGCATATATGCATAAAGCTTCATTTGGCTGGTGTGTTATAATAAAATTGTTCAATTGTTTCAATTCGTATGTCCAAATTGTACCTAAAAGACCAAAATCCTTTTCTCGTTTAGAATTTGGCCCTATACTCCTACATGTTGATGGCAAGAATACAACAAAAATATTAAAGATCTTCTTTTCATTCTTCAGATGAAAATCTAGTACTTTTGAATTTGTTTTCAAACATTCTTTAATCTTACTAGCACAGCAAACAATTTCCTATGTGTGATTAGTTGTATGCCACACCTTTTAGAACTTGCCCGTTTGTTGTAGGTGACCAAATTGAAAAATTGGCTTAAGGAACAGTAATTAGCATTGTACCTGAAAGAAATAGATTCAACCCTGGGGAAGGAAGGGGGTGAATAAGACATCCAGAGAAATCCTTAACTTAGGAGAAAAACTACCCGAAGTCTTTCAGCTTACTGTGGTGAGCAGTATCTGGGGAAGACGTGATGCCAAATAACAACAAAATTTTCATGACATCTTAATGCATCTATAGGGAAAAATTCAATTAATACATAGAATAAGATTATCAAGTCAGATCAACTAATTAATGAATAGTTTTTTTTGCCTGCACTTAGATCAAAAATTCCTACTTTATATAATATCACAGTTCATTCCACAGATGCCAGAATGGTTCATCTCAAATTCCATGGAATTACAACTCCTAAAGAAACAGCTGCTACAAATAAGAAGACAAAATTAATTCACAGATTCACAGACAAAAATCTTCATAAGATGGAAAGATCAGCATATGCTGAATATTTTCTTAGCTTATGTACAAGGCTGACAACCCTGCACCACCTCTAAAATCACATAACAAATTTGGGCTATCATCTTAAATTGTAGTAGTCCAATGCCACATAGCTGTGGAGACATTTTGCTTATCTAAAAAGTGTTTAGCTTAGTGGTTTAAACAGCTTGATTATTACATTATGGGAGAACATAATCTAAAGCTAAACCAATGCAAAAAAATTGAAATTAATGTAGGTAGAAATTCATAGAGTTAAAGCTAGATAAAGGGAGGAAACCATGCCTAGAAGGAGACATGCTGTCTTTTTTTTAGAAGCAAGTGCTATTATTATCAGGCAATATGGTGAACTTCAGAGATGAGGAATCTAATCCAACATTACAGATCGTTATTTCCCTTCAATATTATACTGTAAGGGGAAAATTCACCCTCATCTGTATGACATTTATTTCAGAGCACAAAGAGTAAAATGGCTATTCTTTTTGTCATGATCTATTCTGGTATATTGCATTTAAGCAAATGTTCAAAACCAACTTGCTTATCTCTTTGAGCATAAAATTAATTGGTAAGGAAAACAGATATTAAATTGTGTAATTCCACGGCACAACAGATTACTTTACAGCTCATTGATAAAGCAGAATAAGTTTATTTACCATTTACTGCAGGTCACCTCTCTTCACAGTTACAGTAATTCTTAGTGTAGTTTCCTTGAAGTCAGTTTGATTTTAAAATGAACAATAGATGTTAATATTAAATATCCTTTAACTGACAAGTTAGATAGAGCCCTTTACTATTTTATTTTTTATGATCTATATTATCAGGATATCCCTGTGGTGTATTGAAAAGTGCTGTAAGCTTGCTGTGCCAGCTCTGCCTCTGCTGAATTGGTGCCACAGCAGGATGGCCTGAGGAGAGCTAACTGACATTTTGTGTGGTTTTGTGGCTTTTGTCTGGCTCAGCTAAAGCTCAGATCTGCCTGAAATATGCCATCACAACATACCTACACTATCCTCTCTGCACTGTACAGCTAACTCTTGTGGGACAGAACTTCCTGAGAAACTGAAACAACATCTCTGCAACAGGAGGACTGATGAGGAAAAAGACAATGTGAAAATCCAAACACCTTCTAAGCAATTTTAGGCAGTCCCATGTAACATACCTGACCAATACTCCTTATAAATAGTAAATGAAGTATCAGCAAGCCTATTGCAAAGTTCATGGAAAAGCTGCTTTCCTGCCTGTATGCAATCTGCCTCTTACTTTTTTACTTCAACTGTAAAGTAGCTTTCTGCAATTTGTGATGGAGCTACTACAGTGTGCACATCATCGCTGTAGCATGAGGCACCCTCACTTCTGGTGGCCACCTTCTAGTAGTTCTGGGAGTGACCAACAGCAAAGCTGTCACAGCAGTAGTTTCTTAACAGCCAAACCCAATTTCATTCAAAACTGGCCTTTGAATTTGCTGTAAACACTCTGAAACAGAATGGCTGGCTGGCAGTGCAGGAGTGCAAGTGTAAGGGTTTCCTGTGGTTTAGGATTTGACAGACTCCAGTTGGTGCCCTTAGATATTTGACAGTGATGTGGCAACACTGAGTGGTTGCTGATGAACAGGTTTGCAGTGATCATGCCTCTGTTTTCTGTTTTTGTTTTTTGTTTTTATCTTTTCCTCAGGGGAAATCGCTCACATCAAAGAGGTTAACCAGTCTAGTGCAGTCCTACTAAAAGGATCACCTTGTAGCATGGAAGCAGACTCAAATCATTATACATACTTTATAGCTCACTGATTGCCTGAATCAGAGGACAGTAGAACAAGATGTTGCATGAGCAAGGACCTGACTTGTTTTCTTTTGTGTATACTAAGGCATTACAGACTCCGAGGGACTCTCTAGCCTTTCGATGCCTCCATTTCGAAAACTGTCTGCTCACTTCCTCCTTCATATCAAGCTGGATCTGTGTCTTTTTATTTTCTGCAAGCTCAAGTACAGTGAAAAAAAAGCTTCTGCTAGGCACAGTTTATTAAAAAAATACGTCAATCAAAAACTGGAAGAAATGTAAAAAATGCATATATTAATAAATATACATATGGCATCACATTTATTGCACAATAAATTAGCACAGAAGGTTTCATTTCACTGATGTATGCACATTGAGAAAGAAAACCTGTGTCTTTGTCTGTTGTCTGTATATTCTCTGTTAATGTTTCTTGCATTTATTTTTATACCATATTTAAAAAAGAACACCTTTTACTCCAGATGTATTAAAGTTGATCCTTCCTCTGTAAATTTGTGTATGTTTATATTGTTGTTTTATCTTTCATTAAAATATGCAGAGTCTCTTTCCTTTGGGAAGTTTGAGATTTTAATACTGAATCTGAAGATTAGTCCAGAGCAAAGCCATTCCCAAAAGTTACATGCCTTGTGCTTTCTAAAAAGTGACATGAAATGGCATTTTCTTTCTCTGAGTGACACCTAACCAAACACACTTTATTGATAATCATTTACTCTTCATTTTCTTTTTAGCAAGCTAGCAGCAGAGAGACCTTTCCAGCTTGCTCATCATCACATAAGCAAACTTTTCTTCATGCTAGATCAAGTCTGTAATGGTGCAGTCTACACAGTTTGCTCAACGATTCAGTTGCTGACCAAGAGCAGATCAACTAAACTGCATTTTCTTAGGAATGGACATGATCAAGTCTGGCTGAGAACATGAGTATGCTTTTGCTAAATATGACACCATTTCTTTCTCCTTGCTGTCATGTGTGCCACAGTGCAACATTTTAAGTTGAAGAGATAGTGGTTTGGAAGTGCTGAGACTTGAGCTCAAACCTTGGGCTGTAAATGAAGAAACCTGCAATTTTAACTCAGGGGCTCAGTTCAAGTGCACTGTTGTATGTGTGTCTAATAGTGATATTCATGTAAGAGATCTACTTGTAGGTTCATAGGAGCTTGCAGACATTGTCCATGAGACAATGGATATAGAGCCTTCTGCTGCTAAATGGAGCTAGAGATGTAATATCTCTGCTTGCAGAAGAAAAGCAGCATTTTTGCATAATAGATGATGTAAAGATAGTGGCAGAATCTCCAAGTAGAAAAGCAGTGGTGTGAACTAAGGCAAATGACAGACAGCTCCGGGGCATTATATGGTGTGTAGGACAAATGTACTGAAAGAGCCTTTTTAGCCATGCACAGGATTGGCTCAGAACAGCCAGAGCCGGTACCATCTGTTGTACTCACTTTTGTGTGATATTGATAAACAGAGATCTTGTTCCAGAGGGACTGCTAAACCTAAAAATGTCATCTTTCCCCCCGCCCCCCCATTCCTGACACAAAACAAGCTGGCCGTAGACACAATCCAGCATTACATTTGAATAGATTAGTGCTGGAGTCATCTCATTCAGCACCAGATGCCTACCTGCGTTACTGCCGCTGGGACAGGGCTGCTGTGGGCAGAAGGGAGCTGAGCTGCCATAACCCTGACTGCAGCATCCCCAGAGAAATGGCCTCAATAAACCCAGGAACAAACACATTGTTCATCACCGTGAATGGCTTCTCCCCTGGTTTTTGCTTGGTTGAGATCTGGGGAAGGGAAGGGAATTCGTTTTTTTTTGTTGTTCTTTGTTTTCACATGCTGTGGTGTTTCTGGTTTCTAACTAGGATAATAATCACTGCGTTAAAGTGTTGCAGTTTCTGTCAGCACAATGCTTCCAAGCTGAGTTTTATCACAGAACACTGGTAATGCCCATGAGAGCTTGATTTTATCAAGAGCTCCATCTAGGTCAAGTCAAAATATTCACAGTCTAGGAGGCTAGATGAATTCTAATAAATAGTCACACTGAACCCCAGATCTTAAACTCTGAGATTTAATTTTCCTTTACTGCAGAAATGAGAGCTCTGAGGCATGAACTTGGGGCCAGGATATCCACAGAAATTTGAGCTCTGTTTCACTTTTCAGTGCCAAATGGAGATATTTATTTCCCAACTCCTGCTGCCACCGATTGCATCAGCTGGTATACTGCCTGCTTTTCCTTAGGATTTAACTAATTAGATACCAATTTCTGCTTTGAAGAATCACTCCCATCAAATAATTAACATTTCAGATTCACGCATTAAATATTTCATGCAACTTTACCATAAGGAAATTATTATTTTGATTTCTTCTCAAAGCATTTTGCAACATTGTTCGGACAAATACATGGATTATTTGTATCCCTAGACCCATTTCATTCTAGTTCTTCTTTTGTCCCAGTAGATATGAAGCTTATATTGAATGGCAGTCTTTTCCTGTATTTGCACAGGAATTAACACAATGACTACAAGGTAAAAGTATGCATTAAAGTAAGGACTTCAAAGTAGTCAGGGAGCTCTATCAAGGTTTCATTTGAGCCTGTGTTTCCAGTGATGTAACTCCACTATTACCTGTGATTGAATTTGGCTGAAAAAGAAAACCAAACAAAACCTGCTCTGCAGCCAGTTGATTTTTAAAGGGTTTATTTGAGATCTCTTCATCCCTCCACTGATCACAGTCATCTGTCAGTGCTGCCACAGTGGGAATGGGAACTCCTCGTAGGCACAATGTCCTTTTACATCCCCACTGAGAAAAAACAGTTGTTTTTTTTCAAAACATTATGAAAATCCACTTCCATAAATTAGGATTAACTCAGGGTAAGGCTTATTTGTTCTTACTGCAGCAAGCATCGAACAGATGAAATATAGCTTTGGTTACACAGTAGTGTATCCATTAGGAAGTCCAGTGAGGTCACAAATCTGTTGAGCAAAAATAAGAACCAAGGGAGAAACCCAATGGGAAGGGGCTGTGCTCTTTGCCTCCTGGGGAGAGTCAGCAGTCAGCACCTCCTGGCACCTCCCAGGAGGCTTGAAGCATCCTGCTTTTCTTTAAAGGATCCACTTGACCTGAGAACAGCAGAACAGTCATCAGACCTTGTGTAAGATGCCATTAAAAGTTGCTCCTTGAACCTACAAGACCAAAAAAGGAAGGAAAAGGCCTTAAAGAGGGAAGAGAGAAGGAGCAAATTGCGGAGCTGAAAGAGCCATGGAGACTGGCCAAAAATTAATGAGCTGAAAGTGAAGACAAAAGAAAGAAATGAAAATTAATTGCAGTGACCAGAATGGAACTGATGAGGGAGGAGAACTCATGCACAGAGCAGTTGGGTGCTGGAGAGGCAGCATGCCACTGTTGAGATGCCAGCGCCAGGCAGGGCTGCCAGCAGAAACCATCCAATGGCACCAGCTGCGGCTGCTCCTTCAGACATTTTTCTTCTGAAAGAAAGCTCTTGATACCAAATATACGGAATTGCTTTGTTCAAACTGCACCCCTAATATTATTTGAAATCGTAAGGCATAAATGCCAAGTAGTTCTTCAACAAATAACAAATAGGAGAGCAAAAAACAGTTCCAGAAAATGAGAACTGCAGGAATGCATTTAGAATATTCACTTATTAAAAATATGAATGAAAGCCAAAGCAGATGACTGAAGTGAGAGAAGGCTGTTTTATTTAACTAACAGTTGGGAATCGTCAGTGATTTTTTGTGGCTCTACCATTTATTTATCTTTATGCCAAGTTATTAGCAGCTGTTTGAATTTAGACTTAAAAATTACCATATTTTTAATTTGCTTTCTAGCTAGAGATGTCATGCATAGAACCAATACCACTGAACTACTAACTTAAGTGCATAAAACATAGAAATTTTGCTAAAGGGAATTTAATAGCTACAGGGACCTGTCTAAAATAAGGTTTTAATCTGAAGATGTTCAAGGGAAATTGCCAACAGTTTATTTGAACGTGTTCTATGTCCATGATTCATTTAAGTGTGTTGCTAAATAGTTCTGATTTGCCTTTTGATCTGACTGAGATAAACAGATTAATGCTTTTGTCTCCTTTGAGTTGAAGATATGCTGAAGAAGCCCAATAAAATCTTCTTTGCTTCAGTTTATCCCTTTAGTTTTTGATGAAACTGCTGCATTGACTGTAATAAAATGTCCCCTCTGTTATTGTTTAAAATGGCCACTGCAATGCTGCAGCCTCTTTTGGTGTATCCAAGGAGATACATCCTTACTGATGTGGGTTGACTCCTTTGCCCTCCTCCAGACTGGAGATGTTATAGATCTTTTATGGAGGACAGCACCACAGTGCTCCTGCCCTGGCTCTAAGGAGGAGGACTGTTGTTCATGTTGTGCCAGCTGTGTGTCTGCCTATACACAAAGTGGCAGAGCTTGCCCCCGTTGCAATAGGTGGTGGCTGCTGAACTGTGTTGGCTTATGAGGCACTGTGATTTGCCAGTCCTTTGTGGTAACACATAGGTGTTGTTCACATTGGTGTGTAAGGCATTAATTCCTGGGTCAGTGAGATGTCTTCAGTTGTTCGTTGAGTAGCATCCTAGTTTTTCAGACTGTGCTTTTCTTTTACCAAGGTCACTTTTTTTTTTTTTTTTTTTTTTTTATTTTAATTTAACCTGTGCCATAATTGTATTCCTTTTTCCTGCTGGTATTTATTTGCATGAGTGGGAGTGAGGAATCGACTGTTCAAACTTCTTAATGCTTAAACATGAATGATAGTGACATAAGGGATCTGTATATACAGATCATTAAGAGAAATTGCCATGACAATAGACTCCGAGAACCTGCAAAAATTATTTACAAGGGTAAACATGGATAATAAATATCAAATAATATTCAGACACAATTGTAAATGTTACCTTGTTAGTGGCATTTGCACAATTTTTATTATACATATTCTCTGCTCACAAAATATACTCTGATGCATTCACCTTGTCTCTTTTTTTTTTTTTTTTTTTTAATTGATTTTGTAATTTCTCATTAGGTTGATGTCACTTTTTCAAAACAAATGCTGTTTACCACCCTTGCTATTAACCCTGTGGCTGCTGCTTCTGCTATGTCATGTGAATGAAGCCTTTCATTATTCATGTAACTTTTCTATCCACCTCTTTACTCCCTTCCTCCTTTCCTTTTTGAAAGATGCACAGCAATGGCATTTTTAATATAACTTGCTTTTCCACCTTTTTATTGAATGCATAATCTGAGGTCTATGACATTTATTTGAGTTCATCTATTTTTATGTTCTGTTCTTTTTATATGGCTCATCTGTTCTTTTAGATTCTCTTTCTTCTCTTCCCCTCCCCCCAGATAACAACTTTTTAGGATTCTCAGTCTCCTGTGGTTCTTCTCCTTCACAGTGACCACAAATGCTCTTTGCACTTCCCTCCTCTGCTT